GAAACCTTTGTCATTATTGAAAGTTATAGTCTAATTCCCCTCTCTTTACCTTTTATTATTTCAGTCTCTTCCAACCCAATATTGTTAAGGTGAATTAAAGTGAAACCCCACTTACCAATTCGCTGTAATAGTACTATAACTAGAATAATTTCCAGTTTGCCATATTTATTATATAATACACAATTATTATTATATTAATATACTTTATAATCTTAGAAAATTTTAATTCTATTATTCTAAAGAATATAATATCAAATTTTCATAAATTTTAATAATTTCTTATTAAGTTATAGGTAAAAATCATATGTACTATTACTTTTCATACTAACTGTAATAATAATATTTAAAATATATTTTTTTAAAAAAATAATTTTATTTTAGTTTTTTAAAAAGTATTACTTTATTTATTATTAAAATTAAAGTATAATAAATAATTAAATAATATAAAAAGTTAATTTTTTATTTAATATAAAAAATTTTAAAAATTAATTAAAATTTGAATGATTTTTATTAAAAATAATTATTAATTTTTATTTTGAAATATAAATCTTTTTATATTAATTTATATTAATTTTATATATAAATTCTGATTTTAAAAAATAATAACTTTATTATATAATAAAAATATTAAATATTATAATATTTATTAAGTGTTTTATTATATTATAAAATTCAAAAATTATAAATTGATTCTAATAATTTAATTTATTATAAAAATAAAAAAACTTATTTTATTAAGTTTTAATATTAATTTTTTAAAAAAAATAAATAATATAGTTATTTTTATAAAAAAATGTATAATAATAATTAAAAGAAATATATCTGAAACTAAATTTATTAATAAAAATTAAATATTTTCTCATATTAAAATTTATAATTTTATATTAAATATTTTTATTATTAGTTCTAATTTTATATAAAGTTAATAAATTTTTATTAGAAAATATATATATAAAATAAAAAACTTTAATATTTGAGTTAATAATAAAAATTATTTTATAATAAATAAAACTTTTATATATAATAAAAAATATAATTTTTATTAATTATAATTAGTAAAAATTTATGTATTATATTATTTTTATTTATCATAATATATATATTAATTAATTATATTATAAAATCAAAAATCAAAATATTCTTTTTATATTAAATTTTTATATTAAAATCAATTTTAATAAATTTAACTCTTATATTTTTTAATTATTATTATATTAATAATTAAACTTTTTATAATAAATTTTAAAAACTTAATTATAAAAAGATTTATTATATTTATATATTATTATATATATATATATTGAACTTTATTATATATATATTAATTTAATTAGTATACTTTTCATAAAATAAGTAATAATTATATATATAATAATAATAAGTATTAATTATATATATAATATATTACAAAATTTTTTACATATAATAAAAATATATTTAATATATTATATATTATATATATAATTTATTATATATAAAATACAAATTAGAACTTATATTTCAAGCTAAAATTTAATATATTTAGCAATACAATTATTATAATAATTTTTTAAAATAACTATATATATAATATTTCTTTCAAAAGAAATATATAATAATGATTAAAAATAATAATTCAGAAACTAAATTTATTAATAAAATATAAGTAAAAATGAAAATTTTCTTTTTATATTAAAATTTAAGAAATAATTTTTATTTTTATATTAAAATAAAGTTTATTAGTTGTAGTTTAACATATATTTTTTTTCAGATTTTTCTAAAAGAATTACTTTAATTATAAAGTTAATGCAACTAATTAAAAATGAAATTTAATTAATAAAAATTTTTACACTGTCTTTATAATTAGAGCAACTCTTTTATAAAAATCTAAAAAATCTGAAAAAAATATATATTAAATTATAAAAGATAAACTTTATTTTAATATAAAAATAAAATTTATTTCCTGAGTCATTACTTTTGATTATCATTATAATATCAAATAAATCCATATATAAACAGATATTATATTCAGTACTATTTATAATAAAATCAAAAAAACTAAAGAAAATAGAATAAATTAGCATATAAAAATGTTAGACATTCTAAAAAATTATTGCACATATATCTTAGATACTTGAATAGTATATGCATAGAGATACTTTACTTTCTATATAAACACTTATTACAAAATTATTCAAAATTAATATTCAAGTATTTCATATTACTATTGTTATTCAAAAAGTTTATCTAAAGTCACACCTATACCAATCACCAAATATAAAGAAAAATGAATGAAATAGGCAAATACTCATCTTAATAATAACTGGAACTGGATCTTATTTTAAGATAAGATAGCTTTTCAGCTCTTCTGAAACTACAGATATCATCTCAATTAATTGTGACTTGTAATAGCCAATTAGAGAATTGTAATCAATTATGACAGTCAATCAGAGAATTGCAATCAAGTTGCAACACTATCTTTATTTGGAATATAGTAGAGTGTTGATATAAAAATACCTAGCAAGCTCATCTCATGCCAAAAAACCATGACACAGGTTGGTTTCTCTATTAAAGAAAAAACAAGTTTGTTTTATTTTTGGCAAATAATGAATGTGGAGTTTTATGTTAATATTATCAGAAGGCATATTCCAGAGATTAATAGTATGCTTGGAAATGGTTGATGCTTCCAGCAAGATAACAATCTCAAATATACTAGCCAAATTGTCAAAGCCTACTTGCAAGAAATGCTATCCAACAGCCCAGACTTAAATCCCATTGAAAACTGTGAAAAGGAATGCAGAGAAGAGAATCAAATTGTCAAAGCCTACTTGCAAGAAAATGCTAGAATGGCCATCCAACAGCCTGGACTTAAATCCCATTGAATACTTGTGGATCATTGTGAAAAGGAATGTAGAGAAGAGAAATATTGAGGATTTGGAGCAATCTATAAAGGAGGAGTGGCAGAACATTCCAAATAATATTATAATTAATCTCGTAAACTCAATGTCTAGACGTTGTCAAGGTGTAATTTAGAGAAACGGAGAAAGGATTAATTATTGATTTATTATTAATAAAATCCGTGAGTTTTCAGCTTTCAAACAAGCTATTTTTCATAATTTTCAAATCGCTTGTTGTGGTGCAACATGATTTTTTTTGATTCCGGATAATTTTGTAACACACTGTATATTGATGTTTGAAAAACAAGTTTAAAATTTGTACTATCGCTATATAAAAATCAGTTTATATGATAATTTGTGTAATCATTTTTATATCTTTAAGAATGTTCTCTAATACATATCAATTAGTCACAATAATAAATTTGATATCGTAAATCCCATTTTGCGCAAAAAATAGATTTATGGTAATACATATCGATATGCATCTACATGCACTAACTAAATAGCGCTCTCGATAGGGGCAATGAGTTATACCAACACCCCTAATTCTCAAAATATCATGTCCATTTAAAATGAAATAATTACGTACAATAACAACGATAATTTCAATTTTATTAGTTCAAAATCATGTGAGTTTATAAATACAAAGAAAATGACAAGCATGATTTCAATATGCACGCCATAAGGGTTTCTCAATATGTACGTTATATATAATTAAATTACAATTTATTATTATCGTATCGTTACATATTATGTAATGTATTCCTTGGCACAGTAAATTATCTAACAGAAATTAATATTATCTATACATACAAATTAAAATTAAATTACAAATAAATAAAAAAAATAAAAAATACATTAATCATCTTTAGCTCTAAGATCAATGACTTCAAACACTTCCACCTCAGCCCATGAAAAGAAACCCTGCGGTTCAAGGATTTTTTCAGCATAAGTCTGCTTTACAGATTGTCCGATCTTTAGTTCACTAATATTAATCCACAAATCTGGCCCAGTTCCAAAACAAGGCCCATCCAATGGATGATCTTGCACTCCCAACTCACAAAAATGATTAACTATTCTTGAAAGCCGTGCACCCTCGATCGACTTTTCGCTTGAAAACGAAAATACAAATCCTGTTTGGTTGCCGCGTGATGATGAAAACCAGGCACGTTTAAATCCCTTCGTGATAGGGTTGTAGCCGCCGAGTATTTGTTCGGAATCACGAAGTTTCACTATGAGGATTGTTGAACCGGCTTTATCACATTTAGCGTGGAATTTCTTTGCAGAAATTCCATCACAGCTGGAACGATATAACAGTTTGAATGCTTGTGGTATGTAGTCGCTTTCTACTTTTGCGTTTCCGTCTATCCAAGAAGCGATTAATGACGCGTGTTTTGGTTTTATTATTGTTGAATCTATTTTCATTGGTGGAAAACGGGGAGGGGATAACTCGTGTATTTTTGTTGTTAAAAACTTAGTGATTCGAAAATATTCATTCACAAGATTGTCCGGCAAAATCATTTCAAAAGGTCTCACGAATTGTATAAAATCATCTTCAGGAATATTAAAAAATCGTACAAGTGGCAATAATCTGGATACTGTATGTTTCAACATCAGATAATAATATTCATTGTCCTTTTCAGAGATTACTTCTGCGAAATCTCCATTATTACAACTTAATAGAGAATTGGCCTGTCCCCACTTCAATAAACCACGCCAAATATCAATCTCACGAATACTTAATCCATCGTATATTAATATTGAAGCAAGTGTTGTCTCGTGCAATAATTTAAATTTCGGCGACTTGAATATAATATCTGCGTCTCGTTGAATAATCTCTTCAAAACAGAAATTATTCAGGCGCATGCATGCAGGACGAGGTATGACTGCGTTAAGAACTTCAATCAATATTTTATCTACCCAAAGTGCTTTATTTTTAATAAAGTATGTTTGAATGTCGTCGACTAATTCCTCGAATATCATTTCGTCAGCAGCAATTAATAAATTCAAGCAGTCTAATGGATAGTAGCTGTGTAAGTCTATAACTCCATTATAAATATACCTAAAATTAAAGAAAGCTAATTAGCAAAGAATTGTTTTTCAAACCCAAAATGTTATTTTTTTTTACCTTAATAAAGTCTCGAATATTTGTGCAGAAATATTTGGTTTATGAAAAAAATATTTGTCTCCTTGTTTTGTTGCCCATTTATTTGATAATGCGGCGCAAAAGTATACTGACCGTTCTTGCAGTATGTAAGTATTTGCTTCAAACCATCGTTTCTCGCCAAAAGTATCTCCCACTTGAATCACTACATTTAATTCGTCTTTCATATTTTTCATTTTTCATATAGTAAAAAAATATAATAACAAAAATTTACGAGATTAATATGAGAATTCCGTGTTGAGTACATGTATTAATATAAATACATTTTCCATTTAATAGAACACAAATTATATTACAGTATTATTTTTGACATCAAGAATTCTGTGTCGGCAAATTATCTATTAACGCGTCATATAAGAATCGTCTCCTATCGCTATGTCTCCTATGACAAATACTTAATAAGGGAAAAAAGGCTAACGTTGTGCCAAGATCAAATATACACCACATCACACTATACTGTAATTACATGTAATATAATCAATATCGGAAGTTCTGTATTGGTAGCATACAACACGTACATATACATGTTCGTACAAAAAATTTACATGTGAGCAGCATTTTATGCAGTAACTATCATCCATGTATTCGGAGTTGCGCCTGTATATTTCCCTTTTGACAAAATTTAATAATTGCAAATTAGGAAAAGATGTGTTTAAGAAAACGTGTCGCAATGTTTCAATGTATACGAGTTAATGCTAGCGATAGTATGAACTAATACATGTACATGTACATGTAAAAACTTTATTGAAATTTTTCCCTTTTGATCTACCTCAAACAAATCCGCGCAATGACGATTTTTCATAAAAACTTCGTTTTCCCACAATCATAAATAAACTTATTTAACGTTAACGTAAAAAAAAATGATGAAATCTTGTGGTAATTATGAAAATGACCCGTTATGACATCTTGAGCTTTAATTAATCATAAGGGAAAAGTCATGCATTATTAATCAAAAAATCAATGATGGGTCAGCCAGTTTTTAACGTGATATATATATATATATATATATATAGTTATATCGAGGTAAAATTCGATTCGAAATTTATAACGATAATTCAAATTAGTCAAAAATTCAAAAACAAAATGTATCCTCTCGAAACCTTTTCAATCACTACCTGCTATGAATCAGAATATGATGTTCTAATAAAAGTTGGAAAACTACCCCACGAAATAAGTTTTTTCCAAGCACACTCGCACATATTATGCGAAAGATCAGCATACTTCAACGTAGCATTATCAAATACTTGGGCCAAGAGGAATGACAAAGTGTATCTATTTAGCAAAGAGAACATTTCGGCCAAAGTCTTCAATATACTCCTCGGGTATATTTATAGTAAGACTATTGATCTGGTGAATTTGGGACCGCAATTGACTTTGGATTTATTGATTGCCGCAGATGAACTTATATTCGAGGATATTTTAGAGTCTGTGCAAACTTATCTGGTATCAGTAAAGCCAAATTGGATAAACGAGCATTTAATTGACATTTTGAATACTGTCACACCGCGTATAACCACTTGTCGAAAACTGTTTGATTATTGTTGGAATTATGTGATTGCTTGTAATCCCGAGATCTTGTTTGATCCATCGAATCTTTCGAAACTCAACGAAACGGCACTCACCACAATTCTACAAAGTGACGACTTGCCAATGAAAGAAATCGATATCTGGAATTACCTGATCGATTGGGCAAGATCAAAAGTGATAGATAACAATAATTACGAGAATGCAGAAAAATTATTAAAAAACACTATTTCAATATTTTTCTCGCTTATAAGGTTCAATCATATTAACAATAATGAATTCATCACCAAAGTTCTACCGTATATTAAATTCCTGCCAGAAAATCTTGCTCGAGATTATATTCTTTTTCATGCTGAAGGTGTCACACCAACTACATTTTCTATTTTACCGCCGCGGCTTCCGCAAATACGGATAAACTCTAGCATCCTAAAACCCAAACAGGCAATACTGTTAGCTTCATGGATAGACGGAAAATCCACCATCGAAGGACCAGTTGCGTATTCTTTTCGAAAGCTATATCACGCAAGTAAAGATGGAGTCTCAAATAAGGAATTCCATCGTTACTGCGATAAAGCTGGTCCGACAATAGTAATTCTGAAAATATCTAATGATGATGACAATGATGGTAAAGATCTAGTAATTGGTGGATATAATCCTGTGATTAATGGATGGCGACGAGGATGGTTTTCATCTATACGTGGCAAATCTTCGGCATTTCTGTTCTCATTTAATAATAACGATAATAGGAAAATGGATGGCAAAGATGCGAAAATCAGTAGAATACGCGAACAATTTATCCAACAAGGTATTTACGATCATCCCGGGGATGGAATTTGTTTTGGAAGTGGTCCCGATTTATGGATAAATCTTAATGATTGTAACAAAAAAGTTGGACAATGCATGCAACGTGCCTATACTTTTGGGGTTAAAGAAAAGCGAGGGTTCTTTTATTGGGATGATTTAGAAGTGTTTGAGGTCCAGCCTGTTAAATCCTTATAATTTTAGTTATAAAATCATCTAATCTACTATTTAACGCTAAATATGTAAAAGTAAATAATTGTCAAGATGTATTATATCTATGGCGTTTTTATAAAATAATATCTGGCTTTTTAGTTCCGAACCGAATTAAAATAAAATTTGATTCCTAACTTTAAAACCGAACCAAATCCGGGAAAAATAATATTATTATCCTTGACGAATCGAATGTAGTATTTTTCCCGGATTTGATATTGATAAATTACGTTTTAAAGTTGGTAATCAATTTTTTTACGAAAGCGTCAATTATGATCGCTTTGGTTAATTCCGCTTGTCATGTCAGGTGAAACCACCGAGCTTGCCTACCTAGTTATAGCAAATCGATAGCGATATGTTTACAAATAAAATGCTGATCCTGAAAAGCAAAAAAATCAGACATGCAAAAACGATATTTTCCGAATCCTATCGTTATTATGTGTGGGTCTGCTCAAAAATGGGCGAAAATCAAAAATTTATCTTCGACATCCAAAAAGTCCAAGGATATTAAGCAAGATGACGAAAAAATCAAATTCAAATACCATTATTGGACAAACCAAGAAATCGAGAAATTAAAAATTTTTTCATTGTTTAATAAGCATGATGCAGATTGGCAAGATCGATATTTGCGAGAACATTTCCCTAATAGGACCGTTAGAGCGGTTAAGAAAAAATGTTGGCAATTGAAATATGGAAATGATACTTTATTGCCCGAAGATATCCAAAAATTACATGAAGCTGTAAAGAAATTCGGTTTCAAGTGGTCGATTATTTCCAGAAGGTGTTTTGATTCAAAAGTACAGCCAATCTATTTAGAGAAGTTTTATAGAAAAGAGAATAAGAAGCATGGAAATACCAAAACTGAGCATCAAAAATCAGCAAAAGTTCAAACTCGTAAGCAGTTATTCAAAAATAATCGATTTTAATTAAACCTTGGATTATAAAACTAACATGTAATGTGTTCTGAAACATCTTAATACAGTAGAAAACAGCTCAAAATATATAACGCAAAAGAATGGTTTCGTCACCGCATCTCAAAAAATAGAAGAACCTTTCTGTAAAAACCAAAGTAGCGTTCTCGAAAAAATTATACGAGATATTAAGAGTGGCATTGAACATTTGAATACCGGACCATGGCATCCAGACGAACAAATGGACTTTGAACATGCATATAAGAGATATGGTCAAAATTGGGATCTGATTTCTGAAGCAATTGGATCTAGAAGCAAAGATCAATGTGAAGATTATTGGAGATCATCTTTCATTAAGCAAAATTTTTTCATTAAGAATTGATCTTTTGAGGATATGTAGTTAAAGATATGGATTTTCGAAAGAATATGTATGACGAAACATTATTCTCTTATCATAAAACCTGCCTGCTTTATTTTTGTGGAAGAACGAAATACGATTATACCAAAGCATTGCAGATCAAAACAATGATTTGAACTTATAAATTGTTTGTGTGAAAAAATTATAACATGAAACTTTATGTTTTTATCCTATTGGTTGAATGCTTGCGTAACATAATTTGCTGCGCTGTATAGACCATCCTTTGTATAGACCACCCCTTTAATTTGCACCTGTAATTAGAGATGTTAAAAAGCTTCATGGTGTCGTTCTTATGATGAGATCAGGTGCTATCTAATAACGTAATTATTTCTTGAGAAAACAAAGGATTATTTAAAAATTAGAATTTTTAAATAATTTAAATATAATTTGTCTCAAAACAAAGTCAAAATTGTGTTTTTACTTAATTAACAAGGTTAAAGAATATTTTGTATTTAATTACAAAAAAATGCCGATTTTAATTATTATAGATTAATACAGTCATACCTCCATATAATCGCGCCCTCGGGAACACCAAAAAGTGTGACTATAAAGAGGTTGTGATTATATGGAGGTCAAATTTCCTATGCTTCATAATAACTGTATATAAGTCTCTATTATAAGAATAAAACGTTATTATAAAAATATCGAATACATATCAATACACATTAATCAAAACTCGGCTTCTAGAGTCGAGTTAATCAGACCGGACTTTTAACATCTCTAACTGTAAAAGACCCAGTCTTTTAATCAGATACATGTACTACAAGATAGGCAAATGCGTGCATAATCAACTATTATGCGCACTCTGCGCATAGTACAGTACATGCACATATATCGCTACGCATTTTACCCGGGGAGTGGCAGATATTACGTAATACCTAGGTCACAAGTAGGGATGTTAACTTGAACCATAATTTTAAACTGCAGTTTTAAATTAAACCATTGTATATTATTTAGATCATTTTGATTCATTCACATGAATATCTCAATAAATTAATTATTTATATTCATGAAATATGTATTCAATATATCATTAAATAAATATATATTTTATCTTATTAAATATAATTCTACAACCTCTGATTCATATAAGGAAATAAATTTCTTGGTCAGGATATTCGTATATTAATATATTTCCAGGATGAAAGTCATGGTGCACAATCTCTCCTTGTGAATTTTTGTTAGATCTCCGATAACATAATATAAATATTTTATTTTTGACCCCAAGTTAATTTTTCGTCATTGGGAATTAATATATTTACAGAGAGCACCATTTTTTGCATAATCCATTACTATCAAGCATTCGTAGTTAGGATTTAGTTATTCATAATAATCAAAAGAGTCGCATTGAATCTATTTCTGAAAATTTAATTGCATTAGAAAACAAAGCAACTTTCACTTTAGAATTTTTTTACTCGTGTAAAATTCTGGAGTAATTTGCTTTGAATTGTGTAATGATTTCAACACAACTTCAATTTCTCCACTTCGTATAAATTTATTTTCTTCATGATTCGCAATATCGAATATCTATTCTCTGGATCTACTACAATCATGAGTATTTTTGAACTAAACACTCATCGGCCGTAATATCTTTTGACAACGACGACATTCATTACAATGATGAGTATTCCTGAATAAATTGGTTGAAATGATAGTAAAATAACGAGATAATCGTTGTCGTTAGCATACATGTGGTTACGTATCTGTACATGTATGCAGCAGTAGGGATTCAAATTCTATGTACAGTTTTTTTTTATTGTGTGCTATGAAAGGTTATTGTTAGTTTGTTAATGGTTGGATTCATATTCCAATGGAGCAAGTCATAGCTCAACCCAACCTGTTCATTGGCTCCAGAGTAATACGCCGGCGCGTTACTCGGCAAATTACATGTAATACTCTAGGTTATGCTCTGGAGTAATACTTCAGGTTTTGTTCCAATAATTAATTCAGAGGTGTCCTTTGAATCTTGTTCCAATAATTATTTTGAAATAAATATTTATTATAACTTTGAATTAATATTCTGGAATGATGCATCAGCATAAACGTGTTGAACTAGTAGTTTATAATTCGTTTAAGATCCATTAAAAAAAATCTTCGGTAGGTAAATGTAAAAATTGTGTCATTTGTTTAAACTTTGTAACGGTAAGTCTAATTTAAATAAAGCATATAGGACGTTGATGCAATGCATATGTAACTATTTTGTGTTAAAATTACATGTAAATCTATATATTTTTTACCGTTACAGCCCGCCCGTTTTCTATGTAAGCCAAATAAATAAGCGAATCCTCTGATAACAAATGGCGATAGTTATCCTATTTCACTGAATCCGTCTTTAATAACCTATTTTTCATTGGCATGATTTTAAATTAATTATTGTTGCTCATCATTCTGCACCAATTCAAATGTCCATAATATAGAAATACGTTGTTTTTTATTCCGCGTTGTATGGATAATTAGTATGAGGCGGAAATAGTTAAGAAATGGATTTCTTTAGGATTCCTTTCTAATGTCATAATTCATCCAAGATAATTCTGGTACAACATCTAAAATCCCAACATGTCCAACATCCAAACATACCCGACATATCCAACATCTTGACATATACAAGATCCCGACATACTGACACACCAAATCCAAAAAAAAGTATACACTCAAAATTATGTAATAAAATATTGATGCTAACGTGCGCGATTTTTATACAGCAGCTCAGGAGAGAAACAGACCACCGAAAAAAAAAATAACGAAGTTCAATTTCTTGCGACTGAAAAAATAAAGCTATTGTTTTGATTCATCAATACTTCTGGTATTTATAACAAAAGAATTATATTTATCTATCATCTAACTGACGAGATAAGAATTTTTTTACAATTTTTTAGTGATCAGTTTAATGTGAACGATTTGGATGAAAAATACACTAAGTATAAAATTACTTCCTTTTATTATAGAACTCAAAAGATAAATTATTCAACATTATCACCACTTAAACAAAAATGTCCCGTATTTCATTAACAAAACGCGTCTGTATACATGCTCTTTGAGAAGAAGATTATTCAATTCGAGAAATTTCTATATCAGAAAAGGTAGCCACATCCTCAGTTTTATGAATATGCAAAAATAAAGAAACCGGTGACTTTGATGACAAACTAAAACAGATCGTTCAAACATCCTTTCAGACCGTCATGAATGATATTGTATCTGATTATTAATGACTGACAAATGCGCCACTGCTGTAGAGATTCAACATGAACTTAAGAAACGACTTTGGAATCGATATTTCAGTTGAAACTATATGGCGTATATTTCGGAAAAATGGTTTACACTCTAAAAATTAAGCGCAAGAAACCATTACTCAAATAAATGCCAGCTTTCATTGGTGAAAAACACTGAAATATGAAAGCTGATGACTGGCGGTTAGTATTATGGTCTGACGAAAGTAAATATCAGTTATTTGGGTCAGATGGACATTAGTATTGCTGGGTGAATCACTAAATAGAAGTCATATCACAACTACTCTAAATTTGATGGTGGTCTGGGGATGTATGAATGCAGATGGAGTTGGTCAGCTTCGAAAAATGACAGCAGATATCTACGTCGATATACTTAACAAGAATTTTTAGGTACGCTCTCTGAGAAGATGAAGAAATCTTTTTCTCAGCAAGATAATGACCCGAAACATATATCGAACAAAGCATAAAATTGGTTCGTTGAATGATATTGACTTACTTGATTGGCCTGCTCAGTCCCCTGACCTAAATCCAATTGAGAACTTATGGAATGAAGTTTGACTATCACTTGAGAAAGCTTCCCGGCTCACTTTCAAATAGGAATGATTTGTGGAAAAACTTCAAATTACATGGAATAGCATCAAATCTGCTTTTTGTAAACAATTAGTTGATTCGATGCTAAAAGGGTAAAGGATGTAATAAAGCAAAGGGCGAGTATACAAAATGATAGTGTTATATATTTGTTTTGAGTTTCAAGATCTGTCACATTTTACTTAAAAAGAAATCTACTTTAGTATTATCTCCCGATTCGGTTATATTTGAAGATCACTAAAAAAACAAGAGGTGCTGATTTGTTTCCAGCCGCAAATAATTCTTGAATTGGATCCCGCTGCTTTTTTTCCAGTGATCTTTTTCTTTTGTGTCATCGAAATGCCAAGAATTATAGTTCACGTGGTCTTTACACAGGATCTAGAACAAGGAGTGTCGCTATGTCAGCATTTCGGGATGAATGTCGGATTTTAGTATTTTCGGAACTTTAGATATCGGGATGTTATTTCGGGAATTTAGTATGTCAGAATTTCGGGTGTCAGAATTTTGACGGTCAATTTGTTGAACGACGCTCATTCTATGGACACCGATCGATTTCTTATATGCATACTACATAGGACATGCAATACACCATATTCAAATCATAATAATTGAATTTATTAATTCTAGCCAACTCTGGATTGGCCGACTGGTTTTCTGTAGTCGACATGGCGGACACTTAAAGACGCAATAAAAACTAGCCTTCTTTAAAAGGATCTTCATACAATGATTATTTTTTAAAAAAAGGGTGCCGTTGTTTAGTAGTAAATATATATAATAGCCCCTTTTTATAAAAATTCACTATTTTATTGTTACCGTAGTAATATTTAAGTGCGTAATTCCTTTAATTGACACCGATAATTCACGACAATAATTAAGCATCTGACCTCAATATCGAATTATGAGTCCATAACTTCCTTAGTAGTTACCCGATACAAATAAATATTATCTCTTCTGGACCAGGGACGATAATATCTGACAATCACAAAATATCACATACCCACAAAATTTTGCGATAAACGTAAACACATTATTCGATTGATTTAACGTTATGACACATAATCTTGTAAATCTATGTCATTTTAGTGAAGTAAAAATAATCTATAAAATCACGCAAAAAAAGGATAAATAAATTAGTTTTTCATATTAAATCCGATATTCAAAAATGAAACGTCAAAGAACCAGTTCATTAATAGCTTATACGTGACTCAAAGATTATCCTAAAGTATTTTGTGTTGATAATGGTTTGCTTTTTT